AGCAGGTGCTGAGGATGTGGGGGGCACCCCTGGGGCACAGGGACCCCAGGGAGGGGCAAGTGCCGTGGATATGGGGTGCACCCCTGGGGCACAAGGTCCTTTGTGAGGGACAGGTATTGAGGACATGGGGTGAATTCTCTGTTACGTGGGGTGACCATAGTCATTCATCACAGAGGCTACCCCTCTGATACCCAGTATTTTTAGTCTCTCTACATATAAAAAATATTTTCCATTTATCTGGTCATTATTGTGAGCTGTTTCTGAACTAGAGTTCATTGAAAATTTTGCATGGAAACTGTTTTTGACCAAAAATTGTGTTTTCAATTAAGTGAACATTTTCACAGAAAGCGTGTGCTTTCTTTGAATTTATTTTTTAAATATTTCATCAGAAAACTAGAAATGTTTAACTTTTTCCCAGAAAGTTAATTCTTTAAGTGTAACACTTTCACTTTTTTCAATCAGCTGTATTGTATACTCTATTTTTGTAACATTCTTTTTGAAATAAGGTGACCAGAACTAAACACGGTATTCCAAGTGAGGACATACAATCAATTTGTGTAGTGTAAATATTTAATGTATTTTTCTATCCATTCTTTGTACACTTAAAATCCTATTCCCTCAAGTACTTAAGGGACTGTTCATGTGAGTAAATTACTCCCACGCTCAAATTCTCTAGGATTGGGGGTCTCACATTATGTCAACTTTTTTGTTTGATTATGAGTTGTTGGTTTTTTGGTGTTATTTTTTGACTGCCATTGCACATGGTTTTGATGTAGAGAAGAGGATTTGTGCCTTAATTTCAGCAGTAATTCTTATACGAAGAGAGACTAAAAATAAGTTTGTCTTTAATTTTTTATGTGTCCCTTATTTTCCTGAAGTGTATGTGGTGACTAGGTAATTTTAGTTATATTAATGTGCCCATCCTAAATTCTATTGTTGTTGTTTTTATAGCATTTTTCATCTGAGATACTCAAAGAACTTCACAAATGATATAAAACCCTCTGAATTTTACCCTATTTATTGATGGAGAAACTGAGGCACAGAGGTTAGGTGACTTCCCCGTGGTCACACAGCAAATTGACGTAAATGGGAATATAAATTATATCTCCTGAGTCTGATGTCTTAAAACCACAGGTACTATTTTTGCTGTGCTACATATTTATTGGAATAACCATTACATTTGTAAATAACTAAATGTGATGTGATACATGTTAAATGAAAAGAAACATTGTCAAATGTTGTCCAGAGTTGTATTTTTTCCATAATAAAACAAACAAACAAAACCTTTTGCAGAAACTAAGAGCAATAGAAGTGTTTTCATTTTTTGTTTATATTTTCCTGGAAACATGTTTTTAAACAAATACACAGTCCTCTGTAGTGAAACCCAAATTTGTAGCACAGTGAAACAGACGTAGGTGATGTTTAGCCCATGTTGGAGAAATTTTAAAAAGTAAATAGCATAATTAGTTACAGTAAATTGGACTTTTAACGTTTTTCGTTCTAACCAACTAAGCTTGTCTTAGTTCCATAGGTAAATAAATTTGTTTGTTTACAATATCTGCTCTTTAAGCTATGCAGTATAGCAGATGTTAATTATTTGTATTGCAGCAGCAGCTAGAGGCCCTAACTGAGACTGGGTCTCTGTTGTGCCTAGTACTAGTATAGAGTAAATGGCAATCCCTCTCCCAAAGATTTTACACTCTAAGGGTATGTCTACACTGCAATAAAAAGCTTGCAGCACCGGGTCTCAAAGCCTGGGTCATTTGGCTCAGGCTTGCAGGGGTTGGGCTATGGGGCTAAAAATTGCAGTGTAGATATTTGGGCCTCAGCTGGAGCCCAGGCACTATTGTGAGAATGATGGATCTCAGAGCCTGTGCTCCAGCCTGAGCTTCAACGTTATACTGCAACTGTTAGCACCACAGTCCGAGGGCATGGCTACACTTGCAGATGTAGACCACTTTGTGTTAAACCAGCCTTCGGAGAGTGCAGTAGGGAAAGTGCTGCAGTCTGTCCACACTGACAGCTGCAAACGCCCTGGCGTGGCCACATTTGCGGCACTTGCAGCGACATTGGGAGCGGTGCATTATGGGCTGCTATCCCACAGAGGACCTTTTCCCATTCTGGCGCTGTGGCTTGTGGGAAGGGGGCGGGAGGTGCGGGGCATTCTGGGTTCTGTCCCAATGCCCCGTGATGCATCGGTTTGCATTCCAGCAATCCCTCTGCTTCCGTCCACATTTGGTGCCATCTTTCAATGTCTTTTGTGCTGCGCACTCTGTCTTCCCTTTCAGTCTGCGGGAATGGAGCCCGAACTGCTGAGGAATACGCTGACGAATGTCGCCAGCATATCACGTTTGGCAGTCGAGTTACTTCTTAAGATCCAAACTGACAGTGAGGACTCCGACAATGATATCAACTTGAGTAACGCATACGACACGAGATTGCTTGTGGCATTCGCGGACATGCTCACCACCGTGGAACGCCGCTTTTGGGCTCGGGAAACAAGCACTGAGTGGTGGGATCACATTGTCATGTGAGTCTGGGATGACAAGCAGTGGCTGCAGAACTTTCGGATGAGAAAAGCCACTTTCATGGGACTGTGTGATGAGTTTGCCCCCACCCTGCAGCGCAAGGACACGAGATTGAGAGCTGCCCTGGCGGTGGAGAAGCGGGTAGCTATTGCAGTCTGGAAACTGGCAACTCCAGACAGCTACCGATTGGTCGCTAACCAGTTTGGAGTGGGAAAGTCTACCCTTGGAATCGTGTTGATGCAAGTTTGCAGGGCCATTAATCGCGTCCTGCTCAGAAGAACCGTGACTCTGGGTAACGTGCATGACATTGTGGCTGGCTTTGCACAAATGAGTTTCCCTAACTGTGGAGGGGCGATAGATGGGATGCATATTCCAATTCTGGCATCAGCCCACCTAGCCTCCAAGTATGTTAATTGGAAGGGGTATTTCTCTATGGTTCTCCAGGCGCTTGTGGATCCCCATGGACATTTCATTGACATTAACGCAGGCTGGCCCGGAAAGGTGCATGACACATGCATCTTTCGGAACACTGGCCTGCTCAGGAAGCTGCAAGCAGGGACTTTTTTCCCAGACCAGAAGATCACCATAGGGGAAGTCGAAATGCCCATTGTGATCTTTGGAGACCCAGTTTACCCTTTAATGCCGTGGCTCATAAAACCCTACACAGGGACCCTTGACAGCAGCAAGGAGCGGTTCAACAACAGGCTGAGCTGATGCAGAATGACTGTGGAGTGTGCTTTTGGCCGTTTAAAGGGCCGCTAGCGCTCTCTGTATGGGAAGCTGGAACTGGCCGATGACAGCATCCCTGCGATTATATCCGCGTGCTGTACCCTCCATAGCATTTGTGAAGGGAAGGGTGAAAACTTCACTCGGGCATGGACCTCGGTGGTTCAACATCTGGAGGCTGAATTTGACCAGCCAGAGAGCAGGGCTATTAGAGGGGCCTAGCACAGGGCTGCAAGGATTAGGGGTGCCTTGAGGGAGCAATTTGAGGCTGAAAGCCACCAGTAATGTCTGGTGCCCTGCACAGGAGTGAAGTACAGTGGTTCCAATGTTAGTAGGAATCTGTGTTTGCTACGCTGACTTGCAGTGCCAGTTGCTTTCCTGGGCTAAGGTATCTTTTACTTCATGCAATAATAAAGAATGTTTTCAAAGCCAAAAAATCCATTTATTGAAAAGAAAATTCATTTATTGAAAAGAAACAGAACTGCTTGGGAAACAGAAAGGGTAAGGGGGTGGGGTGGGGAATGGTACAATCACAGATTTGTGTATGTCCTGTTATTGTACTCACCCTTCCTGTCTGAAGTGCTGTGCAATGAGTGCTGCACTTCAGGATGGCTATACTGCATGGTGATGGGGGTTGAGTGCAGTGGGTAAGGATCGTAGTTTTCAGGGCTGGGTGGTGAAACTACAGGTGTTGGAGGCAGCTGGTGGCGACAAGAAGCCGGATGTTGGGGAAAGTAGGTTGGAGGTGACATGGGGGCACCAGAGAAAGAGTTCTGGGACAAGAACTGCGGGGGGGGCGGGCGCGGTAGTGCTCCACCTGCATGGCTACGAGTGCCTGGATCAAGTCCACTTGGTGCTCCATGATGCTTATTAGCCGATCCGTGCTTTGCTGCTGGAGCACCGCGCTTTTGTGCCAGCGATCCGCATTCTGCTGGCGGATCCTCCTTTCACTCTTCCTCCACTCTTGCGCTTTTAGATTCTCTTTAAGTGACTGCTGCATTACTTCATGCAGCATGTCTTCCTTGCTTCTACATGGCCTCTTCCTGAGTCTTTGCAGTCTCTCGGCCGGTGATAACACAGACGGCTGAGATCTCAAGGTTGCATCTGTAAAGGCAAAATGCAACACTTAACAGGCAGCATTGTTCACACCAGACAGAGCTATGATTCCCCTGTACTTAAGGAGGGCAAACACAGTCTACACAATAGCATAATTTGCCCATCCCAAAGCAAGCGCACATAACCCACGGGAGCCCCAAAATGGTGAGTAAGCACAGGGTCCAGGTGGAATGATTGTTTCATGGCTGTACTGTCCTCTGGGTTTCTGTGCCTTGGGGAGAGCCAGCAGCTGCTTTAATGCACTCTAACTCACAAGTGTAGCCATGCCCTGAGTCTCACAAGCCCAACTCAGCTGACCTGGGCCAGCTGCAGCTGTGCCGCTGGTCTTTTATTGTAGTGTAGATGTATCTAAATAGACAAGGGAATGGAGAGAAGGGAGAAGATAATATACAAGCAGAGTGAACAATATAATGGTTTGAAAACATTGTGTTAATTCTGTGATTTTTTTTTAATGTTTTGGGTGTGGTTTTATAAGGAGGATTAGCTAAAGGACAAGAGAAAGGAATGGTGGTGGAAGGATATATAGGAGAGATAAGGAAGAAGGGGGACATGGAGTGCAGGTACATAAGGCTGATGTGAAGAAACTGTGCAGGAGGAGTTTGATCAAGCAGCCAGTCTGCACAGGGGAGAGAAAGTTAAGCATATGTCTGATGATGTCATTGGTGCCCAAAGGCATGCTGCAGCTGCTTAGAAGTTTTAACAGTACTGAGAGAATCATTTCAGCTGCATAATTAAAAGTTTGGCTGACTTGACAGGATGGCTACAGAGCCCTGTCTCAGTCCTACAGCTGGTTCTGTGAGGAAGGAGTCATTTGCAGGATTGGAGTTCACTTTTCCTTACCTGTGTAATTTAACACGCACTTTTGATTATTAAAACTGAAATAACTTAAAAATTAGGGCTGTCAAGTGATTAAAAAAATTAATTACGATTAATCGTGCGATTAAAAATAGTATTCTATTTGAAATCTCTGGATATTTTCTACATTTTCAAATATATTGATTTCAATTACAAAACAATACAAAGTGTACAGTGCTCACTTTATATTTATTTTTGATTACAAGTATTTGCACTGTAAAAAAACAAAATAAATAGTATTTTTCAATTCACCTAATACAAGTACTGTAGTGCAATCTCTTTATCATGAAAGTTGAACTTACAAATGTAGAATTATGTTAAAAAAAAACAACCCTGCGTTCAAAAATAAAACAATGTAAAATTTTAAAGCCTGCGTGAGTTAACTGCGATTAATCGACAGCCCTATTAAAAATCTAATTTACTTTTCACCATTAATGCTATTTATATTTTGCATTTTTCTTGTCTTGGATTGTGAGAATAGGCACTAATTAGGGCTGTCGATTAATCGCAGTAAACTCACGCAATTAACTAAAAAAAATTAATTGCGATAAAAAATATTAATCACGATTAATCTCAGTTTTAATCGCACTGTTAAATGCTAGAATACCAATTGAAATGTATTAAATATTTTGGATGTTTTTCTACATTTTCATATGTATTGTATTCTGTGTTGTAATTGAAATCAAAGTGTGTATTATTTTTTATTACAAATATTTGCACCGTAAAAAAACAAAAGAAATAGTATTTTTCAATTCACCTCATACAAGTACTGTAATGCAATCTCTTTGTCATGAAAGTGCAACTTACAAATGTAGATTTTTTTTGTTACATAACTTCACTCAAAAACAAAACGATGTAAAACTTCAGAGCCTACAAGTCCACTCAGTCCTACCTCCTGTTCAGCCAATT